GGGTAACGGGCCTACCAACAGTTACAAGTGAAATAGAGGCTTGTATACTAGAGACAATTAAGCCATATTTCTTTTTACTCCCCCTGCAACAAGGAAAAACCTTAGGGTATCCTGTCTATGATGAAATTAAAAGAAGAAACAAAAGAAATAATAAACATAAAAAGATAAACATAATAAACATAAAAAGAGACATAAAAATAGGAGACTGGGGGCCAGGAACTGTGGCTCATGCCTGTAATCCCAGCACTTTGGGAGGACAAGGCAGGTGGATCACAAGGTCAGGAGATTGATACCATGCTGGCTAACACGGTGAAACCCCGTCTCTACTAAAAATACAAAAAGGTTAACCAGGCATGATGATGGGAACCTGTGGTCCCAGCTACTCGGGAGGCTGAGGCAGGAGAATGTCGTGAACCTGGGAGGTGGGGCTTTCAGTGAGCCAAGATCGCAGTACTGCACTCCAATCTAGGCGACAGAGTGAGACTCTGTCTCAAAAAATAAATAAATAAATAAATAAGAAAAGAAAATAAGGAGATTGGAAGGACACAGATTTACTACCGAAAGAATAATTCAATAATGTGGGCCAGCTACCTGGGCACAAAGTGGGTCATGGGGGTACTTCACCTCAATTTACATGCTTAACTGCATCATAAGGTTGCAGGCAGTCCTTGAAATTATCACTAATGAAACAACAAATGCATTAGATTTATTGGCCCAGCAGGCCACAAAAATGAGAAAGGCCATTTATCAAAACAGACTGGCTTTAGACTATCTCCTAGCCCAGGAAGAAGGAATATGTGAAAAGTTTAATCTAACTAATTGCTGCTTAAAAATTGATAACAATGAGAAAGCTATTATAGAAATAACTGCAAGAATGAAAAAATTAGCCCATATTTCTTTCTAGACCTGGAAAGGGTGGACTCCTGATTCCCTCTTTGGAGGCTGGTTTTCCTCCTTCAATGGATTCAAAACCTTAAAGGGAGTAGTTCTAGCCATACTAGGAGGTTGTTTGATAGTTTCTTGCCTTTTACCCTTCCTTATTAGGAGCATTCAATCACTATAGAGACAATTGTAGCTAGGCAAACTACCACTCACTTAACGGCTCTGCATAAATATCAGCCTGTTCCTAAAGAAGAAAACCTGCTCATAAGGAATCATGTAGTAGTGACACTTTCTATTAAAATTTTGTTTATAAAAAGCATCAAAGGGGAGAAACTGAGGCAGAAATTTAAAATAATAAGTACTGTATTAACTCCAAGAAAAGTAAAAGCCAAAGCCCAGAATGTGGCAAGGCAAGGGTTAAAAAGAGAAGTTTTCCTCTGCCTAGCAAGCTCACTTCAAAGACAATTAGAAAATAACCTTGTTCGCTGGGCGCGGTGGCTCAAGCCTGTAATCCCAGCACTTTGGGAGGCCGAGACAGGCGGATCACGAGGTCAGGAGATCGAGACCATCCTGGCTAACCCGGTGAAACCCCGCCTCTACTAAAAAATACAAAAAACTAGCCGGGCGAGGCGGCGAGCGCCTGTAGTCCCAGCTACTTGGGAGGCTGAGGCAGGAGAATGGCGTGAACCCGGGAAGCGGAGCTTGCAGTGAGCTGAGATCCCGCCACTGCACTCCAGCCTGGGTGACAGGGTGAGACTCCGTCTCAAAAAAAAAAATAAAAAAAGAAAATAACCTTGTTCAAGAAGGCAAAACCAAAGAAATAGGCTCCAGACAGTCCCCTCCAAAGCAAGGGTGAAGGACATGAACAAATGTCTCTATTAGCCAGTTTTTTTTTTTTTTCTTTCAACGCAGCTCCAAGGCCACCAGCTAAGCCAGGCCACAAGTTATGCCAAGTCATCAGTTATGCTATAAATTATGTGACCTGTCATGATATAATTGACTGCCTTTGTTTTGCTTCTGTAAGTTTGCTGTCTTTGAGCTCAGTCTTTGCTTTGTAAGTTTGGATGTGAATCCACTGAGCTGGTGCCTACCTTAAAATAAATATCCTCCTGTATTCACCCATACTGGTCTCTCTAGTCCTCTGTGTCCTGCAACACTTAGAACCGGGAGGTAGAGAATTATTATCAGTGAAGATAATTTAACTTCCTTTTTTTCTATTTAGATGCTTTTAATTTCTTAACTTTGTTGGATAGCTCTGACTAGGACTTCTAGAATTATGTTGAATAGGAGTGTTAGACTGGATATTCTTGTCTTAATTTATTCTAACAACATTGTGATTTGCTTATGAACTCAGATTGCTCGTATTTCATGGAGGATTTTTGTTTCAATGTTTACCAAAAATATTGGCCTGTAGTTTCCTTTTTCTGTTGTGCCTTCACTATATTTTGGAATTAAGATAATATTGATGTTATAAAATGAGTTAGGATGGAATCCCACCTTGATTTCTTGGAGTACACTCAGTAGCAGTACAAGCTCATCTTTGTATATGTGGTAAAATTTGGCTGTGATTTTACATAATCCAGGGCTTTTACAGTTGGTAGATTTTTTATTACTAATTAATTTCATCATATGTTTTATACATTTTTGCCCTGTTCAAGTTTTCTGTTTCTTCCTGGTTAAATCTTGGAAAGTTTTGTGTATTCAGGAGTTTATTCATTTTCTCCAAATATTCTAGTTTGCGTGCATAGAGATGTTCATAGTAGTCTGATTATTTTTTGTATATATGTAAAATTGTTGTGATTTCACATCTCTAACGTCAAAATAGATGCAGAGTACAAAAGAATTGATGCACAATGGAAGTTTGACAAAATTTGACATTCCCTTTTGATAATCTCTGAAAAAGTAGCTATAGATCAAATTATTGGTACCTCCGCCAATAAATGCCACATATTAGCAAAAAATACACAGCTAACAACATATTAAACAGGGATGAGTTGCAAGATTTTACTCTAAAAGCTAGTATAAGACAAGGATGCCCACTCATCCTTACTAAAGTCAGTCTTGCTAAACATAGTACAAATCCAAGAAAAAGGAATTAGGAAATAAAATCAAAAGCATTCAGATAGGACAAAAGGAAGTTAATTGTTCCTGTATAATTATCTTTTATCCCTACACATAATCTGAAGTATAGAAAAACCTAAGTAAGACTGACTGGGACTGGGCACCGTGGCTCACACCTATAATCCCACTACTTTGGGAGTTGAGGCAGGCGGATCACCTGAGGTCAGGAGATTGAGACCAGTCTGGCCAACATGGTGAAACCCAGTCTCAACTAAAAATACAAAAAAAAAAAAAAAAAAAAAAAAGTAAAATATTATCCAGGCCTGGTGGCACAATACCTGTAATCCTAGCTAGTCGTGAGGCTGAGGCAGGAAGATTGCTTGAACCTGAGAAGTAGAGGTTGCAGTGAGCCAAGATCATGCCACTGCACTCCAGCCTGAGTGACAAGAGTGAGACTCAATCTCAAATAAATAAATAAATAAATAAATAAATAAAAGCCTAAGATTTTACTTAAAAAATTATTAAACTTTCAAAATACAAAAGCAACAGGACAGTAGCATTTCTATGCATTAACTATTTCAAAATGAAAATTAAGAAACACTGTCATACACAATAACTATAGTAATAAATTCAATACAAAGCAGAGAATACATTTGCTTGCAGCATTTTTGAGGCTTTTGGTTTTATACTAGTCACCTTGTTAAAATAATTTTTTCCCCAATACTTCTTCTGAAAATAAGTACAAACTTCTACTCACACACACTCACTTACTTTATAACTTCCTTACACCTAAAGTTTATCTTTTAAAGTAATGTATATTTAACCCAAACTAAAGTTTGTGTGTGTTTGCAGGCAGACAGGACACATGTTCAAATATATATATATGTATAAAATTTTAAGATATCTACTCAGGACTCAGAAATGTATTTTATTTATACTTGCATATGATTTCTATTATAACCATAAAAATAACCTGGTAGTCAATTATAATTTAACTGTTCATTTTTTTTCTTTTTTTTTCTTGAAATGAAGTCTTGTAGTGTCGCCAGGGCTGGAGTGCAGTGGCATGATCTCAGATCACTGCAACCTCCACCTCCCAGGTTCCTGGCCATCTCGAACTCCTAAGCTCAGGTGATTCATTCGCCTGGGCCTCCCAAAAGTTCTGGGATTACAGGCGTGAGCCACTGCACCCAACCATAATTGCACATTTTAAAATAATTTTTATTTTAACCATAAAAATAACCCAGTAGGCAATAACAATTTATATATATATATTTATATTTATATGTATTTTAATATATATATACACACATATTTTTTTTTCTTGAGACAGAGCCTCACATTGTCACCTAGGCTGGAGTACAGTGGCACGATCTCAGCTCACTGCAACCTCCACCTTTCAGGTTCCAGTGATTCTCCTGCCTCAGCCTCCTAAGTAGCTGGGATTACAGGTGCCTGCCACCACGCCCAGCTAATTGTTTGTACTTTTAGCAGAGACAGGGTTTCACTATGTTGGTCAGGCTGGTCTCGAACTCCTGACCCAGTGATCCACCCATCTCGGCCTCCCAAAGTGCTGGGATTACAGGCGTGAGCCACCGCACCTGGCCATAATTGTACATTTTAAAATAAGTAAAAGTGTAGAATTGGGTTGTTTGTAATACAAAGGAATAAGTGCTAGAGGTGATAGATACCACATGTATCCCAATGTGATTATTATATATTGTATTTGTGTATCAAAATATGCCATATATGGCATAAGTATATACACTCATGTACCCACAAAAATTAAGAAAAATAAATTTAAATGATTAAAATAAGAATAAAAATTTAACCTATAAGAACAATATTCTTTAACTTATTTGCAGTTTGAAGCCACTGGCAAAAGAGATGACTACAGATGTTAGTCCATTATATTACCAAATAGTATACTACTACCATCTTTTACCTATGCCTTTTGGTAAGGTGGAAAAGGTTAACCTTTTTGGCATAATAACACTTCATTGAATGCACAATATTTACCATGTTAAAAATGTTGAAACAGTTACATTTACACATAATTTAAAAATTTCAAAATGTACTGCATTTTATTACATAAAAGCACAATTAGTACAACATACGAATATACTACTAGTTTTCTCATAATGCAAAAGAATATTACTCTTAACGCCTTACTCGTGCATCATTCAATAGTATAAGTTAACCACAAAGAACCTCTCCACTTAGATTTTCATCATACATCTTACATTTTAATACTTACTCATCCATAAAAAAGATAATAAATAATGCCCACCTAATGAAAAAGAATCTCTCATACCTCTGATGCAGCAACAAATGATGACATGTTTTCACAAGTCAATAAGAATGAAGAAACAGCAGAAAAGAGTTGAGTTAATCATTTGCTTTTCAAAAAATCTGTAATTTTTTCAAGAATGCATGATCTGAATAGTTATTACTCTGCAAATCTTTTACTCCTAACACTATATACAAATAATTTTTCTACCGACTTTAGTTTTAGATTATTTTATATACTCAGAACTCTGATTTAGAATATTCAAAGTGTCAGTTCCTCATATATTTCTACTATAAATTCTGGTATTTACATAGACTTAAATTTGGATTGAATTTTTTTTATTTTTACTACATCTTTGAAAATATATTTTAGTATAAACTCTGGTATTTTCTAAGCTGTAGTTTTTCAAAAAGTCTTTCCCCAAACTTATTACATTTGCAAGACAATTCTCCAATATAAATTCCCTGATGTTGAATAAAGTTTGAGCAACCCCTTCAGAGTTTTTCTCTAGTACAAAATGTGGACAATAAGATCCGATACAAGTAAAAGTACTACAACCTTCTTTATGTTTGTAATGTTCATCTTTAATATATTCTCCTTCACTTTAAAGGATAGTATTTTCTGAAAGATCTTTTGACAGTAATTGCACTTATCATGCTTTTATTAAGCCTGAACTCTCTGGTGTTAAGATGTGAGCAGATACTGATGTCTTTTTCACAGTCTATATTTGTACAATTTTTCTCAAATATAAATGATTTTCTGTGCAATAAGATGTATTAGTTAAAAATTTTGCCACATTGTTCTCACTTGTAGGAATTTTTTCCAGTATATTACCTATAATCAAGTGTGACAACCATTTAAATACTTTGTTACATTCTCCACATTTCTAGGATTTCTCATTAATATGATTTCTTTTATGGTTAGAAAAGTTTGAGGTGTTGTCAGAAGCATTGCCACATCTTTCTTGTTTGTAGAGTTTCTCTCCAGTATGAATTATCTCATGTGTGTTAAGAACTGAGAACTAGTTAAAACCTTTGCCATATTTTTCACAATCATAGGGTTTCTCTCCAGTATGAATTTTCTGATTTTTTTTTTTTTTTTGAGACGTTTGGCTTCACCAGTGATCATCCGATTCACTCACTGCAGCTCCGCCTCCGGTTCACCATTCTCCTCCTCCAGTACTGACTACCGTCCCCTCGAGTTTTTGATTTTAGTGAGACGGTTTAGGTTAAAGATTCGATCTGACCGGATCGCCGTGTAAAGTGCTGGATACAGGGAGCAGGCTGCTAATTTCTGATATTTAGTAAAACTTGACGACGATTAAAGGCTTTGTCACATTCTTCACTTTTGTAGGGTTTCTCTCCTGTATGAATTATTTTGTTCAATAAGGTTTGAGGACTTGTTAAAAGCTTTGCCACATTCTTCACAGTTGTACAGTTTCTCTCCATCATTAATTATGTTTAGTAGGAGTTGAGGACTGGATAAAGGCTTTACCACATTCTTCACATTTCTAAGATTTTTCTCCAGTATTAGTTATCTTATGTTTAGTAAGGTTTGAAAATTGGTTAAAAGCTTTGCCACATTTTCCACATTTGCACGGTTTTTCTCCAGCATGAATTATCTAACGTGTAACAAGCATTGAGGATTGGTTAAAAGGTTTGCCACATTTTTCACATTTGTAGGGCTTCTCTCAAGTATAAACTATCTTATGTGCAGTAAGTTGGACCAAGCTAAAGGCTTTGCCACATTCCTCACGTTTGTAGGTTTTCTCTCCAGTATGAATTATCTTGTTTAGTAATGGACGAGGATTTGTTAAAAGCTTTGCCACATTCTTCACATTTGTATAATTTCTCTCCTGTAGGATTTTATGTTTAGTAAGGTATAAGAATCAGTAAAAAGCTTTGAGACATTCTTCATATTTGTAGGGTTTCCTTCCAGCATGAATTATCTTATACGTAGGCGGGGTTGAGAAGTGGTTAAAAGCTTTGTCACATTCTTCACATTTGTAGGATTTCTCTCTGGTATGAGTTCTCTTTAGTAAGGGATGAGAACTAATTAAAGCCTTTGCCACATTCTTCACATCTGTAGAATTTCTCTCCAATATGAATTATATTTAGTAAGGTATAAGAATCAATAGAAATCTTTGCCACATTCTTCACATTTGTAGGGTTTCTCTCCAGCATGAATTATCTTATGTGTAGTAAGGGTGAAGTTCTGATTAAAAGCTTTGCCACATTCTTTAGTAAGGGAAGAGGCTTTTGCCACATTCTTCACATTTGTAGAATCTCTTCAGTATGAATTCCAATATGAATTATCTTATGTCTACTAAGATGTGAAGACCGCCTAAAAGCTTTGCCACATTGTTCACATTTGTAGGGTTTGTCTCCAGTATGAATTAGCTTATGTTTAGTAAGGTTTGAGGAATGGTTGAAAGCTTTGCCACATTCTTCACATTTGCAGGGTTTCTTTCCAGTATGAATTATCTTATGCGTATTAAGGTTTGAGAATCGGTAGAAAGTTTTGCCACATTCTTCACATTTGTAGGGTTTCTCTTCAGTATGAATTATCTTATGTTTAGTAAGGGTTGAGAATATACTAAAGGCTTTGCCACATAATTCACATTTGTAGGGTTTCTGTCCACCATGAACATGCTTATGCCCAGCGAGGTGTGAGGACTGCTTAAAAGCTTTGCCACATTCTTCACATTTGTAGGGTTTTTCTCCAGTATGAGTTTTCTTATGTATACTAAGGATTGAAGATCGGTTAAAAGCTTTGCCACATTCTTCACATTTGTAGGGTTTCTCTTCAGTATGAATTATCTTATGTTTAGTAAGTGTTGAGAATTCACTAAAGGATTTGCCACATTCTTTACATTTGTAGGGTTTCTGTCCAGTATGAATTCTCTTATGTGTAGTAAGGTGTGAGGACCGATTAAAAGCTTTGCCACATTCTTCACATTTGTAGGGTTTTTCTCCAGTATGAATTATTTTATGTATAGTAAAGGTTGAAGATCGCTTAAAAGCTTTGCCACATTCTTCACATTTGTAGGGTTTTTCTCCAGTATGAATTATTTTATGTATAGTAAGGGTTGAAGATTGTTTAAAAGCTTTACCACATTCTTCACATTTGTAGGGTTTCTCTTCAGTATGAATTATCTTATGGTTAGTAAGGGTTGAAGATCGTTTAAAAGCTTTGCCACATTCTTCACATTTGTAGGGTTTCTCTTCTGTATGAATTATCTTATGTTTAGTAAGGATTGAGAATATACTAAAGGTTTTGCCACATTCTTCACATTTGTATGGTTTCTCTCCAGTATTAATTCTTTTATGTGTAGTAAGGTGTGAGGACTCCTTATAAGCTTTGCCATATTCTTCACATCTGTGGGGTTTCTCTCCAGTGTGAATTATCTTATGTTTAGTAAGGGTTGAGAAAACACTAAAGGCTTTGCCACATTCTTCACATTTATAGGGTTTTTCTCCAGTATGAATTATCTTATGTCTAGTAAGGGTTGAAGATCGGTTAAAAGCTTTGCCACATTCTTCACATTTGTAGGGTTTCTCTCCAGTATGAATTAACTTATGCCTAGTAAGGTGTGAGAATTGGTAGAAAGCTGTGCCACATTCTTCACATTTGTAGGATTTCTGTCCAGTATGAATTCTCTTATGTGTAGAAAGGTTTGAGTCCTGGTTAAAAGCTTTGCCACATTCTTCGTATTTGTAGGATTTCTTTCCAGTATGAACCCGCCTGTGTCTAGTAAGGGTTGAGAACCAGATAAACGCTTTGCCACATTCTTCACATTGGTAAGAATTCTCTCTAATATGAATTCTTTTATGCTGATGTAGGTGTAAAAGCAGGCAAAATGATTTGCCACATTTTTTACATTTGAAAGGTTTCTTTCTAGTATGTTTTGTGTTATGTCTATTTGAATTTAAAAATTTGTGGAAGACTTTCACATATTTATCACATTGAAGTATTTTTCTCTGGGTAGTTGTCAAACACAGGTTTAGTTCATTATAACCTTCTTTGTGCACATTACACTCATTCACACTTTTACAGCCTTTTCTTAACTGTAAATCCTTGTGTCCACATTTTACATATTCTCTCAGTATCACTTTTTGAAAAGAATCTTTAATGCCTGGCCCTGGGCAAAGGTCTTCAGCAAAATGAGAACATATAACTGAAAGAAATAAAAATATCAAATTACTCCACTTACTAGACTCAGATAAACATAGATTACAAATCTAACCTATAATATTATACAAACTACATAAACAAGATAGCATAGCAAAATACCAAAGGCTCTAATTCTTTATAGACATATGTATGTAACAAAAACATACTAACCAGAATACATCTGAGAAAAAATTATAAATGAGTTAAGTGTTTGAAGCACCCCAGGTGAGCACAAAGTGACACAGAAGGGAAGAGCTAAAGTTTGTTACATTCACCCAACATGGCTATTCCAGGTCCCCAATATAACATAATGCCTTTAGAAGTAAATTGCCAGCCAGATGCAGTGGCTCAACCTGTAATCTCAGCTACTTGGGAGGCTAAGGTACCAGTGAACCAAGATCGCACCATTGCACTCCAGCCTGGGGAACAAAGCGAGAATAAATCTCAAAAAAAAAAAAAAAAAAGAAAGAAAAGAAAAGAAAAAAAGGAAAAAGAGGTAAATTGCCAACTTTTGATTTTTTTTAAAAAAGACAAGTAAAATGCTGGCTCAAACTTCTTTATTACTTCCTTGTCTGGGCTTTTCCAGACACTGGTTTCTGTCTCCTATGATACATAGTGCAAAAAGAAATGGTGCTTTACTTTGGAATGACAGTTTGAGTATGCTGAGACCAAAGGTAAATGTTACAGCAGTAGAGACACTGCAGTACCACAGAAAGAAAAAGTGTAGAGCGGTGCTAAGTAATCCAGCATTGGAGGAAGGCACAAAGTAGAGATAACATCTGTAACAGTGAAATCTATAAAAAAAAAAACAGCGGGGAGGGGGGGCCTGAGTCAGCTACTGGGAGGCGAGGGGAAGGGTAAGGGAGGCGAGCTGCAGTGACTGAGATCGGATGATCAGTGGCACAGCGACTTTCAAAAAAAAAAAAAAAAGAAAACAGGTGTAGCAAGTGATTACTGAGTATTAAGAAAAAAGATGACTAGGGGTCAGGCGCGGTGGCTCACGCACATAATTCCAGCACTTTGGGAGGCCTAGGCGGGTGGATCACGAGGTCAAGAGATTGAGACTATGCTGGCCGACATGGTGAAACCCCATCTCTACTAAAAATACAAAAATTAGCTGGGCATGGTGGCACTTATCTGTAGTCCTAGCTATTCAGGAGGCTGTGGCAGAAGAATCACTTGAATCTGGGAGGCAGAGGTTGCAGTGAACCGAGATCCTGCACTCCTGCCTGGTGACAGACTGAGACTCCATTTCAAAAAAAAAAAAAAAGACGAATAATTTCCTTTAACTAAAAAATAAACACAAAATTTCAGACAAGACAGACTGAAAGAACATGATCTTGAGAGATTCTCAGAATCTCTAACTCAGACAATTGTTCAAAGTATGCCAGGAGAAAGCCATATTACAGAGATTGTGACAGGTAACTTTTTAATGTTCAAATTTTGATAAAAGATTACAATGTGGCCAGGTGCAGTAGCTCACACCTGTAATCCCAGCACTTTAGGAGGCTGAGGTGGGCGGATCACCTGAAGTCAAGAGTTTGACACCAGCCTGACCAACATGGAGAAACCCTGTCTCTACTAAAAATACAAAATTAGTCTGGCATGGTGGCAGGCACCAGAAATCCCATCTACTCGAGAGTCTGAGGCAGGAGAATTGCTTGAACCTGGGAGGTAGAAGTTGTGGTGGGTGGAGATCATGCCATTGCACCCTAGCCTGGACAAGAAGAGCAAAACTCTGTATCAAAAAATAAATAAATAAAATAAAATTTTGAGGAAGAAACAATAAAAAATGAAATAAACTGAGTAATACTCAATGAGTGAAATATGAGCACAGAGAACTATAGAAAATCAGAAAACTGGAAATAAGAAAAAAATATTTAAAATACTAGAAAAACAAATTATGGGGGTAAAAAATATAAAAAAACTGAAAAATCTTAAAAAATGATGTAAAAATAAAAAAGCTCAACAAACAAACTGGGACACAAGCAAAGATATTTATATCAAACACATATGTAAGTACAATTGTAAAAGTCACAGAAAAGGGAATCTTGGGAGCTACAAGATAAAAGTGATGTGTTGGCTGGGTGCAGAGGCTCATGCCTGTAATACCAGCACTTTGGGAGGCGGAGGTATGCCGATCACCTGAGTTTGGGAGTTCAAGACCAGCCTGACCAACATGGGGGAACCCGTCTGTACTAAAAACACAAACTTAGCTGGGTGTGATGATGCCTGCCTGTAATCCCAGCTACACAGGAGGCTGAGGCTGGAGAATTGCCTGAACCAAGGAGGCAGGGGTTGCAGTGAGCTGAGATTGCACCATTGCACTTAGCCTGGGCAACAAGAGTGAAACTTCGTCTCAAAAAAAAAAAAAAAAAAAGTGTTATTTGCAACAATACTCTTATGAGATAGCCAGTGGATTCTCAACAAAAATTTTGCAGGCCAGAAGGAGACTGTGTGAAATAGTCAAAGTTCTGAAAAAAATTAACTATCAAGTATTTATAATACCATCACCAAGTCTGTCCTGCAAAATAAAAAGAAAAAAAACTTCAAAACTAACCAAATTCTAAAGAAGTATATTGGCACTGTCTTACATATAAAAGGTGCTGAAAGCAGTTGCTTCCAATGAAAATAACAAGACTCAACAAAACAACATAAAATCGTACTAAAATACATTATTTTCTGGGAAAGATATGCACATACACAAAAACAAATTTCTTAGCACAAAAAATACATCTATATAGATACACAAAGCAAAATAAGAAAGAAGTAAAAGCATATCAAAATAAAAATAAAGACACAAAGAGAAAATGTGGGACAAAGATACAAGAATCAAATAGAACAATAAACATTAGTAAGTCTCTTTGTTTCAGAAAACTTTGTGTCTGTACAGGCAGAAGAGATTATGATCACGTAGTACAGAAGCCTGTGTTGGTAAAGGAGACAAGTTCCTGCTACACATTCAGTGTCTGGGGTTGAGATAAGCCAGAAGTCTTCTAGGCACCTGTGTATATTCTTGGCCGAAAACCCTAGGGGCAAAGCTGTTGTGGGCACAATTCCGGAGGGTAAAACCTTGCCCTGGGAGAGGAGTGGCCATGTCAATTTTTAGTGGGTATGGTCAAGAGTGGGTCACAATCATGTGGGCACCAAAGTGGGGAGAGGCAATAAGTTCTCAGAATATTTTTACTCTCTTTTCCCTCTCTCCCTAGGAGACCAAGAATAACAGGACAATGTACAGTGTGACAGCCTGTGTGCAGAACAAAAGCTTCACTTCCCTCAGACACCTGAAGTCTCCCTCCAGCCCAGGCCTGTGATAGTTAATACTGAATGTCAACTGGATTGAAGGATGAAAAGTATTGATCCTGGATGTGTCTTTGAGGGTGTTGCCAAAGGAGATTAACATTTGAGTCAGTGGGTTGGGAAAGGCAGACCCACCCTTAATCTGGGTGGGCACCATCTAATCAGCTGCCAGCATGACCAGGATATAAAAGCAGGCAGGAAAACATGAAAAGGTTACATTGGCCTAGCTTCCCAGCCTTCATCTTTCTCCTGGGCTGGATGCTTCCTTCCCTCAAACATTGCACCCCAAGTTCCTCAGTTTTGGGACTCAGACTGGCTCTTTTTGCTCCTCAGCTTGCAGACGGCCTATAGTGGGACCTTGTGATCATGTGAGTTAATACTAAATGAACTCCCCTTTGTAAATATATATCCATCCTATTAGTTTTGTCCCTCTAGAGAACCCAAACACAAGGCCCCTGTGGTAGCTCTCGTCTGACAAAAAAAGTTGTAGTTTGCTGAACACCAATCAATTATCCAACACCAACTGGCTGTCCAACAACTCAATTCTGACACCACCCAGAGTCAACACAGAATCCACAAGTTCAGGACTCAGTCCCACAACACTGTCCCAACTGCAGATGCCAGTCACATGGCTCTGGATAACCATCTTTATTTCTGAACTACTGCTAACAAGCCAAGGTCTTCCACATCTTCCTCCTCAAGTTCAATAATTTGACAGGCTACTCAGAGAACTCAGCAAAACACTAAACTTACATGTTGGGAACAGGCCCCCCAAAATCTGGCCATAAACTGGCCCCCAAACTGGCCATAAACAAAATCTCTGCAGCACTGTGACATATTCATGATGGCCATAACGCCCAAGTTGGGAGGTTGTGGGTTTACCAGAATGAGGGCAAGGAACACCTGGCCCACCCAGGGTGGAAAACCGCTTAAAGGCATTCTTAAACCAGAAACAATAGCATGAGCGATCTGTGCCTTAAGGACATGCTCCTGCTGCAGATAACTAGCCTAACCCATCCCTTTATTTCAGCCCATCCCTTCATTTCCCATAAGGGATACTTTCAGTTAATCTAATATCTATAGAAACAATTCTAATGACTGGCTTGCTTTTAATAAATATGTAGGTAAATCTCTGTTTGGGACTCTCAGCTCTGAAGGCTGAGGCCTGTGATTTCCACTTCACACCTCTATATTTCTGTGTGTCTTTAATTCCTCTAGTGCTACTGGGTTAGGGTCTTCCCAACAGAGGTAGTCTCAGTAAGTTGCGTCCATCATGGGGGCTCGAATCCAGGTTGAAGGGTCACTGGAGCAACGACTGGAGAATGTGGAACTAAGCTGGATGACACCCAAGTACTCTTAAAACAATTCCCATGGTGAGTAAGAAGGGGAGCTTGGAAGCATCAGGGTAACAATGGGACAAGTGTGGGCCCTGGTTCCTTCCTCCTTGTAACTTTTCCACACTGATAATGAGGAGGAAGGAGACTATAACGAAGTAACAGAAGAGGTTATAGACCAGGTTTATTTGCCAGCTAAAGTGGCACAGGAGGGAGAGGTTCATCCCTACCCTTCTGCACCCCCTCATTATTATTTTGAAGAAAAAGAGTGGCCTGACCCTCCAGATCTTTCTTTTCTGGAGGACACTGGGCAAAAACTAGTTGCCACAGTAACTGTTCGAGCAGTGCCTTGAGCCACCACTCTTAATTC